GCTCTGGGACTAGTCTTGTTGCAAACCTTTGCACTTTCTCTAGTTTCTTTACGTGCTTGGCTAGGTGTGGGTTCCAAACTGGTGCCGCATACTCCAATATGGGCCCTAAAGTTTTACGGTGTACAGGGTCCTGAACGATTCCTTATTAAGATGTCGGAATGCTGTTTGAGGTTTGTAGGGCCCTAGCTCGCAGTTTTTTGGGTTATGTGCGCTTCGGGAGATGTCCCGGGTGTTAACCCCCCCAAGATCTTTTTCTTGAGTGGGTTTTGTAGTCCTGACCCCCTAGACTGTATCCGTCTGGGGCCTTCTTTGCCTTCCCCAATCTTCAGATTTTGCACTTGGTGGGATTAAACCCCAGGAGCCAATTGCTGGACCAGGTTGCACCCTGTCCAGACCTTTGTATGTGTGTGTGTGTGTTGTGTGTGTGTGTGGGGTGTGTGTTGTGTGGAGTGTGTGTGTGGGTGTGTGTGGTGGGTGTGTGTGGTTCTGGTGTGTGTGTGTGTGTGAGTGTGTGTGTGTGTGTGTGGTGTGGTGTGTGATGTGTGTGGGGTGTGTGTGTGGTGTGGTGGGTGTGTGTGTGTGTGTGTGTGTGTGGGTGTGTGAGTTGTGTGTGTGTGTGTGTGTGTGTGTGTGTGTGTGTGTGGTGTGTGAGTTGTAAAGTGTGTGTGTGGGTGGAGTTTGTGTGTGTGTGTGTGTGTGGTGTGTGTGTGTGTGTATGTGTACTCCTTTTGTACCACCTATTTGTGTGTGTGTGTACTCACCTATTTGCACTCACTTATTTGGGGTTTTGCGGGGGTTCGATCCATAGCTCCTGGCCCGCCTCTTCGCGATTGCTACTAGGTCCTCTCTCTCCCTGCCCCATAAGCTTTATCATACCTCGCCTTAACTATGTATGGGTTTCCCCCCTCCACTACGTCACTTTCTGGCTATTCTACGGCCTGACTACTCTAAGACTGAAGAAAATACTTCCTAACATCCCCTTTTATTCATCTGAGTCTTCAACTTCCAAATTGTGACCTCTTGTGTCTGTGTCCCATCTCTGGAACATTTGTCCACCTTGTCTATTCCGCGCAGTATTTTATGTCGTTATCATGTCCCCTGACCCTCCTGTCCTCCAGTGCCGTCAGGCCGATTTCCCTCAAACCCTTTTTTCGTAGGACAATCCCCGTAGCTCTGGGACTAGTCTTGTTGCAAACATTTGCACTTTCTCTAATTTCTTGACGTGCTTGACTAGGTGTGGATTCCAAACTGGTGCTGCATACTCCATTTTGGGCCTGACGTAAATGGTATACAGAGTCTTAAACGAATCCTTACTGAGGTATCGGAACGCTATCCGTAGGTTTGCCAGCGCCCGTATGCTGCAGCAGTTATCTGATTGATGTGCGCCTCAGGAGATATGCTCGGTGTTATACTCACCCCCCGATCTTTTTCCTTGAGTGAGGTTTGCAGTCTTTGGCCATCTAAACTATATTGTGTCTGCGGTCTTCTTTGCCCTTCCCCAATCTTCATGACTTTGCATTTGGCAGGGTTAAAAATTTAAGGAGCCAGTTGCTGGACCAGGCTTGTAGCCTGGGCCAGGTCTCTTTGTAGTCCCGCCTGATCCTCATCCGATTTGATTCTTCTCATTAACTTCGCATCATCTGCAAACAAGGACACTTCTGAGTCTATCCCTTCCGTTAGTCGTTCACAAAATACCAAGAACAGAACTGGTCCTAGGACGACCCCTGTGGAACCCCGCTTTTCACAGGCGCCCACTCTGACATCTCGTCACGTACCATGACTCTTTGTTGCCTCCCTGTCAGATATTCTCTGATCCATTTCTGTGCCTTTCCTGTTTGTGTGCCTGATCCTCTAGCTTTGCAGAAACCCTTTTGGGGAAAATGTGTTGAAGGCCTTTTACGAAAAAAATATGCAGTCGATCCCCCCCTCTCTTCTTGTCTTACTTCTGTCACTTGTCATAAAACCTTAGTGGGTTTGTGAACAGGTTTTCCCTTCCCAAAAACCCGTGTGGTTTTTAAATTATCACTTGTTTCTTTCAGTCCCCCCCACTCTCCTCCTGTTTTTTTCCCATGACTTGCATACTATACACGTAGTGATAAGGTCTGTGTTTGTGTGTGTGTGGGGTTTTGAGTGTTGTGGGTGTGGTGTGTGTGTATCCCCATTTGTATCCCTATTTGTGGTTGGGGGGTCGAGTCCTAGCTCCTGGGCCCCCCCCTTCAGGTTGCTACTAGGGCCCTCTCTCCCCCCCCCCATGAGCTTTTTCAAAAACCCCCGTCTTTAAAAATGTTTATGGGTTCCTGCTCCCCCTAGTATTTTCAGGTTTTCCCCTGCCCTTTCAACTCTATGATGAAGAAATACTTCCTACTATTCTCTGACTCTTTGTGTCTTTCAACTTCCAATTGTGGCCCCCTTTTTTCGTGTCCCTCCCCGGAAAACCCTTTCCTTTTCCCCTTTTCTTTCCCGCAGTATTTTATATGTCGTTATCTTTCTCCCCCGACCC